ACCTCCTCCTCGAATGACTTTCTCGCTTTATCGTCATCTTTTATTTTCTGAATTCTTTCCTCTTCCATATCAACCCTCGAAAGAAAACACTCATCACACACCTAGCCTGCGATCAACCTCAATTTCGCCTTCTTATTCTCATCTTCTTTTTTCTTTTTTTCCGCTTTTTTCTTCTTTCTCTCTTGCTTCTCCCGAGCAATCTAATCCCTATCATGTAAGCCACTATCGATTCGTTCTTACGTCCTCTCCAGTAACCCAATCAATCGCCCCCCTCACATAAGCCGACGCCTAAGTGACACGAAGTGACGAGACTCCTATTGAAGCCGTCAGCACCGTGAGCAGTATTCCTGAGTTTCCGTTTTGCTTCTTATCAGTGGCAAACGTGTCGTTTATGAACTTCTGCAGTTTATCCATTTTATGCAACTTTCCCGACTACAAATGATCTGCCGCGATTTCTGTTTCTCTTCTGTTTTGCAACACCTCCCAAATGGGTCCTTTCATAGAGAACTCAAGACGAAGAGTAGGGATAGGAAGCTGATGCGTATCTTTCATAAGTCAACCTCGGATACTATTGGACGAACACAACATCCTGTCCCTTGTTCAGCGTCCCCGGCTTGAACTTCGCTGCCTGAAGGAATCGCGAACTCGTGAAACCGTCAAAACCACCGTTTTATGATGTGTGAAAAATGCACATTTCCGGAAAAAGAGTCGATAAAACAACCCAAAATGCTCGATTCTTGACCTAATGATTGTCGACATAAATTTTCATCAAAAATCCAATTTTTCCAAGTTTCAAACAGAAAATGTCTTTCATCGATTCCCCCACCTGAGCATGTTGAAGCTCTTGAGGAACAATCTGCCCATTCTGTTCCAGGAAGTTCTTCAAATCGTACATGATATGCTCCTGACAAAAAAACGTCACTCGCCACGAAATTCCCCCAGCCTTACGTCCTCCTTAGTAAGAAGACTAGTAGCCAAGCCCTTCTTTCCGGCTCTTCCAGTCCGGCCGATTCTGTGTGTGTAATCCTCAATGTTTTTGGGCATATCAAAGTTGATGACATGTTGAACATCGTCAATATCGAGACCTCGTCCAGCGACATCAGTGGCGACCAATACCTAAAAATCAACAACATGAATCGCTTCGCTCCGCTGTAACCGCCCCTACATCAGTGTAGCCAGCCCTGAAATTCTCCATATTCTGTTCTCGAGCATCCTGGTGCTTCCCACCATGCAACACCGATACCGAATATCTACACACAGCGCACCGCGAAGATTTAAAGATATTCCTCAATCGTTTCCATTCACCCCTCGCCTTCTATCCATTTCCCCAATACGTCCGCAGCCTTCTTAACGTTAACGAAGATGATAATTGGAGGTTCCGTATATCGCCTGAAGGAAGTGTGCGTGAAAATCTCCGATACCGTGAGAAATTTCCCCAAACGTTTAAACCGCCATTTATTCCCAAGATAAGCCCGTCAACTTTCTTCCAAGCTCTTATGAACCCCCCAAGGTTCGATTCCCAGCCCGGACATTCCCCAACACCAACAGTGTTGTAGTATCTGCTCGCTCTCCTCAGCTAAGCTCAGTAGTTTCCTCACTAATTATACAAGTTCCCATATAAATTCGCATACAGAAACCAACCATAATTCCCTCACAATTTTTATATACTCCCCATATTTTCCCTCACACTTACAAAACTTCCTTCAACTGTTTCCTCTTGCTTCCTTCACTAGTCCATACCACCCTTTGCTCTATATCCTTCTTACCAGCTCCAGGATCCCCTATAGATATATACGCAGGGCACCGAAGATACCTACCACGTGCGCCGCACAGCGAAGATTTCACAAAACATCACCAATTCAGAGTTAACTCACTTTCTTGCTAGTCGCTCTACCGCTGTTGGCATAGTGGCGGAAAACATCTAAAAATACAAAAAAAACGGCGTAAATTTCGCTCAATGGAATTTTCCCGCATTTTTTTCCTCACTTGAGTAATCCGATAACGCTTCTTTCCCTGCTTCGACGTTTTCTCCTGCTCCGTCGCCTCGTCCTCATCCAAAGACTTCAAATTCGATGCTGGGATCCTATCGAGTACTTCATTTACGTACCTGGTAGGTGGGCAAGGAAAATACCAAAAAATAAGGAAATTCAGCCTAAAAATAATCGCGTTGAAATACACCAAATTTGCTACCAGGAATGAAAACAGATTACTTCTATCCACATCGTAAATTGAACAATACCATAAAATGCAAAAATGACGTGGAAAAGTAATTTTCCATGGTCAACTTCAACGCGGGTCCAAACGTTTTTACTCGACAACCATCAGAAAAAAGACAAAGTATTACAATCTTGGTCTCATCTCAAAATTGCATTTTCCCCGTTTACCAAAATTAGATATAATTTATATTCACACAGGACACAGAGAAAAGTAAAATGGCCTTTATTATTCCAACTTCA